TCCGGCTGCAGAGAGAGACGCCAGCTGTGATCTGCGTCAGACATGCTGCTGTGCCAGCATCTGTTCTGAGGCCAGCGCTCACACTCCTCTGGATAAACTGCCGCTGACAGACACTGAAATGGTCTCAAAGTCAACACTGCAGTGGTCGTGTGTTGGAAATAACATGGAGCTGTGATGCAGCATTGTCATGGCACAGGCAAGGCTTTAAGTTTGATTAGAGGTAATGGTATGGTTCATGGTGGATCGAGTGGTGGTGCTGAATCAGCAGCAGGAGATCCTCCACCTCCCTGCAGCATGGCAGCAGATGGGTTATGTAACAGTGACAAAGAGTGTGCCAATTTCACCAGGTAAAGGCTGTGTGTGTGAAGGCATTTCATGTGATATGATGTGATGAGCAAACATATTGGGATATTATATCATTTACACTAGTTATTTCCAGCAATGCCTGCTGCTGTTGCCAGGGAATACATGGAAAGCTTGTTTTTCGATCAATTAAATAAACACAATTCTGTATCAAATTGTGTGATACTAGTTTTTTTGTTCAATTATTCTATGCCTTAACGGGACTCTATTATGCTCGTTTTCAGGTTTCATACTTGTATTTTGTATCTCTACTGTGACGTTTAAATGCTTTAATGTTCAAAAAGCTTTTATTTGTCTCATACTGCCTGTGCTGCAGCACCTCTTTTCACCCTCTGTCTGAAACCAGAGCCCATGTCTGCTCTGATTGGTTAGCTGGCCGGCTCTGATGTGATTGTTCAACAGCTTAGAGATGTCCAAGAGCTCTAGCAATAGAAGCGTGAGTGTTACATAGTGATGTCATGATACGGAAGTAAACAATGGAGTCCAATGGAGGCGTGTGGGGGGAGTGTGTGAGAGAGAAACTCCCTCTGGAGGGGATATCAGGAGTCACTTAGAATTGAGAAACAATCAAATTACTTGTATAAAATTGTATTCACGCAAGTTCAATTTAAGTCTCAGATTATTCTTTGTGTGTTTATGATATTGCAATCAGTCGATATTACTATCAAAAATATAAACTCAGTAATCATGTTCATACTGCCCCATAATTAGTTTTAGAAAACAAGGACTGCAATATATTTTAAATTAAGTAGAGATGTAACGTGCAATCTATATCATATTCTAAAACAGTAAATCATTTAGGTTTAACATCAGAGAAACCCTTTCCATAAAAAAAAGTCTGTATTTAATTTCTATACTTTATTGTAAAATGTTCAAGACACACGGTCGTCTTGCTGTTTTACATTGTAAACGCCATGCTTTTTGAACATGTATAACCATTGTGCCACTGTAACAATTGGATCCTCCGTCAGGGGACTGACTGTATTGATATGGTGTAAGCCTTCGAGAATAGCTTGAATGAATAAGAAGTGAATTAATATCCATATCGCAGAGATGCATTCACACCGAATCTGCGGGATAGATGATAGCCTTTATCCCTCCACACAGGGAGGACACAGACATGGATGGAGCTTACCAACAATCCAGGACAAAAGGGAGCCTCTGGTGGGAGGGGGGGCGGAGGGAGGATGGGTGAGGAGTTGTTGTTTTGATGAGGACATTGATCTCTAGTTATTGCACTTCGTTGACCGGCCCAGGAGGCACAATGACAACGTGGAGGGGCAGAGTATTATGAAATATTGTCCTAGAAGCCCTCGGCCAAAATGCCAAACACAGCTGGAAATCTTGACATATTATCCAAAGAACACGTGGGAGACACACAGAAGCCTGCCCGGGCTTTCCCAAAGCCGGACTTCAAACTCACAGTTTATTTCCCAAGATGACCGGTGTGATTTATTTCAAAGACCAGGAGCTAAAGCTTCTTAGCATCGGTGAGGTCACATTTCTCAGTGCCAAAGCTTGCACATAGCAAAGCTTAAAACAATGTCATTTCTCAGCATGTCTGTGACTTATCAGTGTGTGACGCATGCTTTGTACGACCCACAGGCAACAGTATGTTCCCAGAGAGCTGTAATTGAGGCATAATAACTCACCTCATTGTGCTAATGGGCAAATCTAAGGTCTGCTGGTCATGACAGGTGGGCAGTTAATGCCGAGTGGGATGTGAAGGCTGTGGAAATGAAGCCATCTGATCTGAGTTCCTAACCACTATCCAACCCTCCTGCTCACCGCCGATGATCCTAAACCACTCGTCCAATTAGATCACTTCCATGGGCTCCCAGGGGCCGGAGGCAGACAGTGTCCTGTTTCACAGTGTGTATCTGGGCCACTAGCACGCCCCTCTGCAAGGCTACCCTTTTAACCCGGGATCAAAAGCTAAGAATAGAACAGGAATGAAAATAAAAGAGTAACATTTCAACACATTTCTTCCTTTGCTTTTTAAGTATTAAAGATTTCACAAAAAGTAGACAGTAAGAGTCTACTATGATACTGCTAACCCTGTAGTAACGTGTGATGTGTGAAGAGTCATGCATCCTTCCGGAGGACTATGTTCCATCAACAGCAGGGGAGGGATCATGCCTGAGGACACCCCTCTCCTCTTACACTGCCTTCATGGTTCCTTGTGATCTCCGGAACTCTTTGAATGACTGTGGTAACCCCCGGTGAGTCACTCCTTCATACTCTATAACAAAACTTGGCCTCACCTTCGGTAGGAGATTTCATGTCGGCCGTTATGAGTGGTTAGACATTGGGAAAGGATTCAACCGAAGCGGGTAGAAGTGTGTGTGTGTTTTGTGGTGGCCTTTCCATCGCCCAGCCACATTTAAATCCCACATTTCGAGAGGAAGCCTCCAGTGTGGTGACACACAAACATCACTGTCTCTACAGGGGAGGGATGACCCCCCCCAACAGCTGTAAGAGAAGCAGGGGGCCGATGATCTGGAGGTCAGAGGCCACAGAGGGGACACAAAGATCGGGGCATGGTGATTCATCGCTCGGCCACCTCAGGGCCGCAAAGGATGTGGCTGTCATTCCAAACTTGACGGAGAGGGAAAACTCACAAAAATGTCTTTATTGTGGACGGGAAGAACCCAAATGTTTGTGCTCCAAGCAATGAAGAAAATAGGTGCCACATGTACATGCAGCAACTATGTGGATTTACCATCATATCCTGGATTATTAGCTTGTCCACAGTAATAAGAGACATATCAATGCAGTGGAAGATGGACATGGGATTTTCTATACAAAGTGAAAAAACTATGGGTATACTTTACAGTCAGAGGCTGAGTCATACAGCGTGCTCTATACAGTCTGGATAATGATTCACAGATTGCTGCCCTGCCATGATTAATGCCTCTGCTGGATGCTTTCGACAAATTTTCACCACAAACCCAGAGCCTTTTGGAGTTGTTTCCATTCCATATGCTACTGTAGCAGTGGTGTGCATGTGTGTATGCATACACGTGTGCCAAGACCATACTGTGACTTTTGGCAGTGTGATATGAACTGAGAGGTGTTGCAGTGGTTGTGCCAGAACTCTTTTTTTCTTTTTACATTTGTGATAGTGCTGCTTTGCTAACATGTGCTTCTGAGTTAGAATGGTGGTTGATGGGAAAAAGGTGCACTTTCTTCATGATGTCATGTGACAGATCAGCAGTGTCACAATTCAGGTAAAGTACATTTAGTAAAGACTAAATGTACTTTACCTGAATTATGCACACATATGTAAATAAATTCAATACTCCAAACTCAAATATGTATATATGTTCATTCAAATGATCAACGTTTTACCTTGTTGTGATATCTCGTTTGAACAGTCACTTATGTTATTTGTAATTGTATTGTCCTCGTGTGAATCTGTACTGTCCTGTTTTTCACTCTCACTCTGTTGCTTCTTTAACTCCTGAATTTCCCCACAGGGAAAAAAATAAAGCTCCATCTTTTCTTATTAAGAAAAAGGGCCTTTCTGCATTATCGCTTTGTTTACTTTAAGTGTATGTTGATGCTAAAACTTTTGCGCTTTTATTTGATAACCATCCTTTTATGAATTTCTACCTGTAACATTGTATTTTCACATGCAGTATTTAAATGTTGTTTGTCAGTAAACTGATAGAATGCTTCTTTTCTACTGTGGCATGTATCAACATGCTGACCACATGGTGCATTTTATAATGAGATCATTCACCAATGACTGCTAATATACCAACCAGTACAAACAGTGCACATGCTTCAAAATCACAGTACAACAAACACTCTTTAAATAACACTTCAACTGCTTTATCTTCGACATCACACACAGTGGAACTACTTTCAGTTCTAACATAGAAAAGGACAATTCCCCTGCCTACACAGAATGAACTTAGAATTAAAACAGCAAATGCTTTCATCGATTACTGCTCAACTGATTGCGGCCCTTACATTTCGAAAGACATTTCAAATTCGAATAGTGCCTACATTTTAACATGACATTTCCACTACTCAGTGCTTTGCCTTCAATTCTCATAAGACTTGGTGCATGTAAACAGTTTACATTTAAACCTGTAAGTGGCCTGTTTCTTACTTTTTCTGCAGATAACCTAACATTTTCTAGACATTTTTAAAATTAGCACCGAGTGAGTTCCCCAATTCCCTCTCGGCTGTAATCTCTAATCTAATTTGTCCTTCACATAATCATGAAGGGAATCGCTGAATATGTTGTAATGCTAAACAGTGTAGTGTTTTGCAAATTCTTTATGCATAGAACTCATTATGCAGCCATGTCTGCAGAGAATGTTTGGGTTCTCAGCATAAATATCGCCACCGTTCCAAAACGAGATCCACACAACTCCATAATCAAATAAATATCGTTGATTATGGATCTCGTCTTTGAACGGTGGTAGGGTTTTTAATATTCAAAAAGACGGCTAATGATGTGAAGATGTTCTTAGCATGGCCTGGCCTTTAATCTCTCTTCATATTATCCCCTTTCTCTTCAAAGCCTCCAGAGATGACAACAAAGCTTGAATAACAACACATTTTCAGCAAAACTGTATGAAAAATAAATATCACTCATGCATTATCACAGATGAAGCAAAGCATTGGTTTTCAATGTTTTATTATGAATAGTCTTTGCTACAATTTGTATTTAAAAAGTGTTCAAATCAAACAAGCTCAGGCAGTATCAAACTGCTGATTAAAAAGAAAAGAAAATAATGTTTTGGTGCACCACGCGCTGTACATGTTAGTGTCATGAGTTCAGGATATTGTTAATACTACTACTCACTGTGATTATTCTTTTATGTAGTTTCTAAACTGATCCTCCACTTAGAAGAAAGCTTTACTTAATACACAACAATCTAGAAGAATAGAAAAAGAAATGTGAAATAAGACTGTTGAGAAAACGTGTTTCAATAAATCCAATCTTCAACTACGCAGTGCACACTCACACGTTCCGTTTACGTGAAAAAACAATATAAAAACACTTAAATGATTTAAGACAAAACACATCAAACATAAAACCATGGAAGCGCTTCCCATCATAAATATAGTCAGTAGTGGCGTTTTTTTTGCTTTTCAACAAAGATGTGCGCTGCACATTAGAAACAATTTGTAAAACCTTTTATTAATAAAAACTCAGAGGTCCTTTTTACAGAAGAACTTTTTAAAGACGGACTTGTTGCGAGGCCGCGGCAGGCTGGAGAAGCTTCTCAGAGAAGAGTCCTGAAGGGGGTCCTGCTGACGGGGGTCCTGATGACGGGGGTCCTGCTGACGGGGGTCCTGCTGCCACCCGGCTGCAGCCATCAGCGGGGGCTCAGAGTCTGGCGACTTGTCTCCAACTACAAGAGTCACGCAGTAGTTGGAGCCTCTCTCCGGGACTCTGCCTGCAGGGGGGGGCAACATGGGCTTGATCTTCTGAAACGTGGCTGAAAAGAAAAACAGTGAAGCGAAAGTTAGGAAACTAAGAAAACAACAGCTGTTTATGATTCTCAGCCGTAGATCTTTAATGACTAACCTGATGTGAAGGAGTGGGAGCGCCGCTTGTTGCTGAGCCAGTCCTCACCCCCGGACACGGGGGATAGAGGGGAGGAAGCGGTGTTGTCTCTGGATGCTCCAGACAGCCTGTGAGTCAGTGACTGCTTTAAAGTGTCTTCTTCATCATCATCTGGAGAGGGACAGAACATTAGGATTGAGTCACTCCAACAACTCTTTTACTTTCTCATTCAAACTGGCCAGCATGATTGGTCTGGTCGTTAATCTGAGAGAGTGGAAATCAGTTTCCTAGCTTTTGTTTTGTCCTTCCTCAAACTATCACTTTCTGATGCCCAATCCAATTTGGACCTTTCAAATTTAAAAAATACAGATGTGTCACAACTATCATAACAGATGTGAGCTTCTCTTTGATACAGTTGTTTAATAAGCTAAGACAATACCTTAGCTCCCCCTAGTGGAACATACTAGACCTGCAACAACTATTCCCTATTTTATTTTGTGTTTAGAGAGCTTGATAGCAGACACTACTAAGCTAAATAAAATGTATCACCAAGAGTTAAGAAGCAAGCAAACACAACTTGCTTTAATAAAATTAATAAAAGTCCTGTTTGATCAATAACTAGTTGCATCCTTTAACCACCAGTGGGATCATTCACAGCCTAACAATGGAGGGCGGGGCTTACCACAGCAGCCTCCATGTGAGCTGGGGGTCTGCTCATCCACACTCTTCAGATGACCCTGCGTCATGTGACTGAACTCTCGGGTGAGGACCACTATCTCTTTGGTCTGGGCGGCGCTGTGGGTTTTGCGCCTGGGGAACGTGGAGGTGACCTCATGGCGGGGGGGGCAGCGGCATGTGGAGGGGCCGGGACAATGGGAGCAGAGGAAGGGCTTTCTGGGCGGTGGGAGGGAAGCAAAACATTATTGTAAAGATCAGAAGCATCCCTGGAAATCAAGAGTTGGAGGTTTTTAAATCGTTGATCTTACGAGGAGTTAGGGAGGCCTTGATCAGCCAGGAAACTTGATAATGAAGTCTCACTGCGACCTTTTTTTGGAAAATGAAATAAATGAAGCAGATTATTCTCTCATCGGGTCAGAATTAGCGAACATTTGCTATGAGATGAAATGCTTACCCGTGTTTGCATGTATTTTCATCATCCATTTCTTCATCAGAAAGCGTGAGGAGGAATTGAGCAGATATTCAGAGCCATCACGGAGTCTGAAGGCCACAAAATACAACGTTTACACACTTTACACGTTTATTTAATGTTCTGAAGGATGCTATGTATATTTACGAGTAAAGTTATCTATGTCCATGTAGGGGTGAATGATGATGATGATGATGACATATTGTGTTCAAAAGCTAGAGGAAAGGGAAACATTTAACAAAAAAAGTGTGGAAACCTTTTTGGGATTTTCTTGGACTTTCCTGGACTTCAAGGTTCAGTCTTTTTTTATGACTGTGTGTTGTTGCGTGTATCTACATTGTATATGTGTCTTTAATGTATGTTTTATTTTATTTTCAGTTAATTATCTAGTACAGCAAAACGCTTTGCACTTATTTCACGAGACGCCTCTCCTAATTTACATTTTTTACAAGGTCTAGTACTGAAAAGTTGTGTTTGCAGGTGTATGGGAGCTTATTCTAACTTTTTGGTTTATTTCTTAGTCAAATAAATTCTTCTGTAAATGTATCCAGGGGTTATTCATGTTTTACCGCAGTCTGAAGCAGTTGGGTTTCTTGGTGTACTCTGGAGCCGGGGAGCACTCCGCTCCGAGGAGGTTGAGCGGCAGGCCACAGACAGAACTCTGCAGAATAACACAGAGTGATCACCATCGACTCATCCACTTCAATTATTCATCATTTTCTGTTCCTCTGGGCTTTTATTGTCGTCATTTCTTCTGCTTACCCTCAGTGTATCCTTCCTATCCTGGTAGAAGCACAAGGTGTGTCTGTAAAGGACGGCGTGGTACGAGTTCCATCCTCTGGAGGCAGCCTGAGAAAATAAGATAAGAGCTGACTGCTGCTGACTGCGGGCTTTACATCTGCTGACCGCTGAAAACATAAAGCGGAGGCTTTCTTACTTTCTTTCCTCCCAGCTGAAGCTTGTGTTTCCTCTCCAGTGTTCCCTCCATAGTCTGCATCTCAGGCCTTGCACTCTGAGAGGAGTTGAATTAACAACATTTAGGCAAAACCCCTCAATATGATGAATACAAACAGCTATACTTCTAATAAGAGCTTAACAGATTTGATTCCTCTCACCAGAGTAACACAGCGCCCTCTTGTGGTCATTAAGTCTTCCTGCTGCTCCAGGCTGTGAGGGGCTTTCCTCTGCTGGCAGACCCCCTCCAAACCCATATGGACTGAGAGCAGGCTCATCGACTCGTCCTGTTCAGAGAGAGAAGTTTCACAATAATCAATCATGACGAGTTGCGCATTTAAAAAAATATCAAGGCCAGAACAGTGATAAATGTTACTAATTCCAACTACAGATTAAAAGCAAAATGTCTTTAGATTCTATTCACTATATATTTGTGAAAATTAACACATATACGTATATCTTATTAACATTTGAATTGATAAATATTGTGATAATGGGTTTTCTTATAATTGAGACATGGTGGGTTAAAGTTTCAGTTCCCCCAAATTACATAAAAAACACATCGAAAAAGGTTTCTTGCTTTATCTTCTTCTTTGATGGTATATAACGACAGCGTATTAGTATAGTCTATAAAATATGGAGCCTAAGGGAGGTGGTAGTATTCTTATAAAAATAAAACATCTTTGATGTTCAGATTATTCACTATAATTAAGTACATTTGAAACAAATATCTGGAGAATAGATGGCTTCTTTTTTTTAACCACATGGCATCACTTTCTACCACATACGCCACCACTTTCTGCGTATCCTGCCTGCAGTGGATGACCTAATCACTTTGCACTCAGATTTAGCAATAACAACATGTTTGCCCAGATTCAACATAAGAATCTAAACTGGTCCTATTCAGAAGACAACATATTGATTTAGATGAGGTAATAGCTTCTGTGATGTGGTTTCTTTTCTTTTACTCCTACATTTCTGAGCTTTTTCCTCGTAAATGTACCACTTTAACCTCAGAGAATATTCGTGTTTTTTTTTAGCATATTACCCTCCTCCCAAGGTTTCGTTTTAATTTACTACAATTGCTCATAGACAGTCGTACTATCGAGACTTGCTGATAGTTTGGGATTTATTTGCTCAGGATTTAGAAACTGTATGTTTAAGAAGAGGCCGAATGGTGGAGAAAATAACTCTGTTTGGGGGTCTTACAACCAATACAAATTAACGTCTTGTTACACAAAACAGTGTTAAATCCTTTAACAAAAATGGAATTTGTTGTCATTGTAATCTTACATGCTGTGAGCTTTACCAACAACATTCTAACCCTATGCCTACAGGCCAGCAGGAATATAAGTTTTTTTGTAATTTGGGTGAACTGATAAGGTCTCAAAGTTCTGGACATCACAACATCTCAAACCTCACCTTGGAACAACCTGCGAGCTCATCCACCTCCTCCCCCACCTTTGCCTCCTCCTCCCCCTCCTCCCCCTCCTCCTCCTCATCCTCTCTGTACTGATAAATGTATCTCTGATTGTCCCCCACGTCCGGCAGCTTCACTGGGTCCGACGCCGTCTCGTTCACCGTTACCGAGCTCTTCCCGGCTGGCTCCCTATTGGGGAAGGCCGCCCAGGACTTCCTGTCTCCGGTGGCCAGCGGGCGGAGGTGACCTCTGGGACTCTGCTCCTTGTCGTATCCCAGCAAGCTCTGAAGGTAGGGGGGCAGTTTGAACTCTGCCACGAGGAGGTTGGGGGCTGAGGCTGTGACCAGGTTCCTGTAGAGCACAGCCGGGGTTTTGGATGACGGTGAGCAGGAGAGGGGCTCTTTAGGGTGGTCAGAGGGTTCAGGCTCTTCCTGCTTGGGCTGGTACATGATGTCTGAGCAGATGCTCTGTCTGTAGTTGGTTGTCTGGTTCCAGATATCCTCCAGCTCTTCTTCTTCCTCCTCAAATTGCTGGTGGTCGAGAAGGACCGGCTCTGTTTCCTGCTCTGTCGATGGCTCTGTCGATGGACCCGAAGATGTGTTCTCTCTTGTTTTAGCGCAGTCCATGCCTCCCACCTGAAGGGACATGAGCCTCCCCACGACGCCCTTTGGCTGCAGGTTATCTGGACACGGAGCCTCAGTGCAGAGCTTGACGCTGCTGGAGGTGGAGATCCCCGAGTCTACAGAGTCCTGGCGAACGCTCATGCTCACTGTCGACTTCAGATTCACGACCATATGAGAAGCTTGGGTCTGACACTGTGGTCCTGGACTCTCTTCAAGCACATTCTGAGGTTTTGCACATTTATGGTAGTGGTGTCCGTTCAGGTCTCGGATCAGCGTGTGGACGCTCGGGCATTTGTGTTTGAAGGCAGCTGTGTTTTGGGCTTGATTCACATAAATCGGGGGCTGGCAAGGTGGCTTGCTGGTCCCATGTCTTTCAGCCGTACAGGACGACCTTTTGTCCCACTCCTGCTCTGCATCCTCAAGCAAGGTGAGCTGTTTAGACATTTCTTCGTATGGTACAGTCTGATCTTCATCTGTAGAAGAAGGAGGTGATTGGAAGCTGTTCCCCATATCAATCAGATCTTTCACTGTCCGTGTTTCAGGAAGACTAAAATCCAATGAACTGCGTGTGATGGACGGAGTGGGTCGAGTCTGTTTGAAGGAGCTCAGAGCCGTTTGTCTCTGCGAGTGGGGGTCCGGATCAGTCCCTGCTGGTGTTTTGGTCTCTGGTGGGGCGATAGTGATGATGTCCTGAATGCTGGGGATGAGGGTCATGTCTTTAGGCAGCTCGAAGCTCAGCACAGAGCCCAAAGAGAGGAACCTGCAGTGGCTTCTGGCCTGATCTGTGGTCGGGCTCTCTGACATGGCATATGGAATAATGCTGTACTCTCCTGAACATTCCGAATCAATGTCTTTCACCAGGGGATTCTTCATGTAGGCCATCGCTTCTACTCCATCCCCAATCTTTAGAGAACCCTTCTTCCTCCTGGCTTCCTTCAGTGGCCAAGTATGCGTGTCGTACGTTATTGTCTCGCAGTCGTAATAAGGCATGCCTTCCGTTTGGTCCTCCACTCCCATGATTTTCTGGATCGTGTGCCTGCGAGTGTCTCTCTTCCTCTTTCTCTTCTTGCCCATCCTCTTCAGGCTGCTGAAGATGGAGGTGCTCCCTGCTGAAGGGTGAAAGGATACATTCGCCGACTGAGATGCAGTCGCGGAGGAAGAGGAGGAGGATGCCGAGAAAGTAGGGGAGGCTGAGGCTGCAGAGCGCCTCTTTTGGCGGGGCAGGGTGATGCTCTCATACACAGGCGCCACGGCCAAGTTGTTATCCGTCACATGCAAGTAGGTACTTACCTAGAAAGAGAGAAGGATGTTAGGCAATTGTAAATTCTTTATCTAAAAAGTGAACCCCGTAGGAATCATGCGAGCTGCAGGCTGGAGCCCTCTGCGAGAACAAGAGCAGTTTTATGTGTTACAGATTAATCATGACATAAGAGCAAACCTGACCAAGACAATTAGCCATTTTTCAGAGACAAACATCAGTTCCTTTCCCTCTACATCCCACATATTAAAAAAAAACAAAGGGTTCAGGAATGTACAAGACTCACACAGCAATGCAAATGATTTAACAAAAACACACGAAAAAGACATAAAAATTAGATGAAAGGACAAAAGAACATGAATGCAATCGCACACTTGCTGGACTTAATCAAATACATATGTGGCAGCACATGCCGTCATATGCAGCTGTAATGGCTTGACCTTTCAACTCTGTGACTAATCTCTTGTTTCTGTGGAAGCCCCAGACTATAAATCACTGTGTGCAGTCTGGGGGCCTTCCTTGAAAAGTTCAGCACCGGTTCTTGGTCTAATGACTGCGCCTGTTTTGGCGTTCGGGACGCACTCCTGCTGGGAGCCATTTTGGAGGAAGTGTAGGTGAGGTCACTTATTTTAAATGAGCGAGGCACAGCCGCAGGAGAACCAAACAAGAGCAGGTCTGCGTCAGGCGTGCGGGGAAATGACAGAAGGAGAAGAGAAAGCTTTCTGTCAACATTCACAGCGGGGGGTATAAGACTGTGTGGGCTTCTCCTACTCATCACTCTCATTCTGTGTTTGCCATCAGCGCTCTACAGCTTTTAATCCTGGCGTGTTGAACAAGTTGAGCTCCAAAGAACATTTTTAAGGAAAGTTGGAGTGTAAACATCCTGATTCATTGTGGGATATTCAGTCGGGGATTTAGCTTTTTATCAGAGTTTACACAGGAAAAACTGAAAGGGCAAGTGACAGATTACGGAAAGATGGATTCATATTCACGTTCCAAAATATACACATTTGTTCTCAGTGCTTCAGGATTACTAAGATAATAGGTGGTTTTTCAAGCTGGCATGTAGGATGGGTTACATGAGTCCTTTAAGTATTAATACTGCAAATATGTTAAAGTCTATTTTTAAATAAAATAGCATAGAGTTTAGTTTTTTATGGCACTTTAATTTGAAGAAAATGAATTGTAGGATTCATGAAACTTACAGAGTGGTGAATTTTGTTTTAATAACAATTACGTTATTGTAGTTTATGTTTTTTTGGTATTGGTAATTTTTTGTTATTTTGTAATATATTATTGTGTGATTGCAAGGGGTTGGTTTGCGTGGGTCTCATGGATATGGTCAGCGCTATGTGAGGTGTGTGTCTGTTGACAGCGACATTTCGATAGTTGTAATTATTCATTCCTCTGTGCATGTTGTAATAAGTTGATCATCTAATTTTTTCATTACATTTTTACTTCATTTTTTGATGCAATTACTTTTTTTGGTTTCCTGAAGTCACTACATTAATAGTAAAAAAAACATTTAAATACAATCTTTTTAAAACATACATATCCTTTAGGGTTGTCATTATACTATACACATTGATATATACATTAACTGTATGCATCTTTTTTGTCCACTAATTGGAGATCAAATGTATTACCTCACTTTATTCATTACGTTTATATTTTATACGAATGGATTGTAAAATCAACACTTTTCTTTTTCCGTCCCATAACGACAGAATGTGTTCATTAAAAATGTAATTTAATTTGTATTTATGACTTCTGTAGAGTAGGGAAATTCCGAGTTGTGACAGTTAAATGGTTTGTTATCTTTCCTCACAATGAGTGTCTGTTTCCCAGCCGCAGTCTCTTCAGAGATGGTATGAGAGACACTGTGATAGCACTTTGGCCTGTCTTGTTTCTTTTAACGCTTACCTGGCTTACAGAGGCCGACAGCACGGGGAAGACCAGATGTATCTGGTAACAGGGGTTGGTTGAGCATGCTGCCCCAAGAAAACAACACAGCATGCAGTCCTGGCACACTTTGAGACGCAGCATGCAGCGCCAAATCACACCGCGCTATTTACCTCGTTTGCACTCTGCCGATAAATGGTTTTCTTTCTCTTTAAACTACCAAAAGTATTTTCCAAAAGCCCCTGGCAGCGCCTCCAAAAGGTTTTACAGGCAGTAGACTGAGGGGGAAAAAGGAAGATGTGAAGGCCAAAGGGGGAGAAAGGAATGAACAGCAGCAGATAGCCAAGGAGGGAGATCCCATGCAGGGGGAGAGATGTATGTAGCCAATAACAGGGTCTTCCCATAGTGCACTTTGGTGACTGTGTGTGTTTCTCACCCTGTGGACAGGCTCACTCGTCTCCTCCACTACCTCCTCCGTCCTAGCAAGCGTGTTTTCCAGCACCTGAACCTGGCTGTCCCCCTGCCCCCCGAAGCTCAGGATGAGGTTGACCGTGCCCCCTAAAGCGGGGCTGCCGGGCTCCTTGAGGATCACGATGGAGGATTTAGGAGACTCTGAGGAGGGGGCCTCACCCCCCCGTGGTCCGATACTGTTCATGACCTCATACCCGTCCTCGAACTGCTTCTCCTCTTGCTGCTCAGCTTGTCTCTGCGGCAGCGAGGAGGGTGGGCCGTCTCCTGCAGCCCATAATCTGTCTTCAATGAAGGTGACGACAGGGGACATGTGGGACTCATAGGCCTCTAGATCAGGAGCGGAACTCTATGTATGGAAACAAAAATGATTCAATATTCACATTGGTAAATAAGTACTTGTACAGTAAAAGTATTTTAGGAAATGGAACTGGAAACCGATTCCCCACTCTTTATCTGAAACCAATCAGTATATCAGTCCTTTATAGTTGGGGTAGGTAATTTTGGAGAAACCAGCTCGAGTGCGCTAGGATCTGAAAATACACAGCCGGAAAAAATCTGCCACTTCCTTACAGAGCCCCTCCTCAACA